GTTGTAAAGTAACTAAGTACAAATACTTAATACTTTGTTACTCTAAGTAGAATTTTTGTGTATCTGTACTTTAATTATTTTTCAGCCTACTTTTTACTTCTACTAATTACATTTTTAAAAAAGACAAGAAGTAGAAAGTCGTTACTTTTATTTCATTTTTGCTTGTTTTCATTCCAGCTTGTTATTATAAAAAAATAAAAACTATCCATATAAACTGAGCCTCCTAGATAGAGTGAATTTGACTGTGGTTGAATGAGAAGTATAAATATATAAAACTCTGATAGTGTATTAATACAACAATCATTTCTGCAGTTTTTGGGGAGGTCACCTCCTAATCAATGTCCTTACAGAAAATCTAACTGCTCATTTTAAATCTATATTTTTACTTTTAATATTTAAGTACAAAAAATATCAGACACTTTAAGACTTTTACTCAGGTAATATTACTAAAGGAGACTTTAACTTTTACCAAAGTAATGTTTTGGTAAGATACTTGTACTTTTACTCAAGTATCACTTTGTTGTACTTTATACAACACTACAAAAGTAGAAGTTGGTCAGTTTGCACCCTGCACCTGAAGGCCCCCCTGCTGCCTTTAGTCTGGGCCCCTACAGTCCTTAACTCCGCCCCTGCAGGAGGACGGCTTTAACTTCACTCTGACATGAACCCAGGACTGGACCCTGCTCCCTGACCATGGTCCTGTGTGCGCAGCTGCTGTGTGGGTCTCAACATGGACCTGCAGAACCTCAGCTCGGAGGAGTCCGTCCAGAAGCTGCTCTCTGTGGAGACCTTCCTGCAGATCTGCGGTCAGTACGGGTACGGAGGAGACCTCCAGGACGTGGTGGCGCGGGAGTTTCCCCGGATCAAAGGTCAGGAGGATGAGTCAGAGCTGAAGGATCGAAGCGCTTTTTGTTTTGTTTACTTTGTTTGTTTGTTGACAGGAGTGACGTATCTGGATCACGCAGGTGCCACTCTCTTCCCGGAGTCTCTGCTCAGAGATTACTTCCGGGACATTTCCACCAACGTTTATGGTGAGGAGAAATAAATTATTTACATKATCTCCCGCCGCGGGAAACAACAGGGCTTTGATGTTGATTTGTCTGTTAGCAAAATATCCCACGAACAAGTTGTCAGGGAGTGAAACCTTCATGAGATAATTATTAAATGTTTTTGATATGGCAAAAAAAAAGAGATAACAATTATTTTTTTTTCATATCGTCCGATCACGATTAACATCACGATTTTTTTGTTAACCTAAAAAGTGACTGAAATAAAAAATTTAACAAATAGCTACAGAAATAAAAAATAATGGCTGTTATTTCACTTTCACTAATATAACAAATAGCTGTGGTTCAGTAGAACCAATCAATAAGTTGTTTTCTTTCTGCCTGTAGGAAAACAACAACAACGTATTAATGATGACATCATCATTAAACTGTAGTTCTGTCTGTAGTAAAACAACATATTAATGATGACATCATTATTAAACTGTAGTTCTGTCTGTAGTAAAACAACATATTAATGATGACATCATTATTAAACTGTAGTTCTGTCTGCTGTAAAAACAACATATTAATGATGACATCATCATTAAACTGTAGTTCTGTCTGCTGTAAAAACAACATATTAATGATGACATCATTATTAAACTGTAGTTCTGTCTGCTGTAAAAACAACAACATATTAATGATGACATCATTAAACTGTAGTTCTGTCTGCTGTAAAACAACATATTAATGATGACATCATTAAACTGTAGTTCTGTCTGCTGTAAAACAACAACATATTAATGATGACATCATTAAACTGTAGTTCTGTCTGCTGTAAAAACAACATATTAATGATGACATCATCATTAAACTGTAGTTCTGTCTGCTGCAAAAACAACAACATATTAATGATGACATCATTAAACTGTAGTTCTGTCTAATGTAAAACAACATGTTAATGATGACATCATTATTAAACTGTAGTTCTGTCTGTTGCAAAAACAACAACATATTAATGATGACATCATAATTAACAAACTGTTGTTTTCTTCCTGTCTGCAGTAAAACAACTTATTAATGACATCATTATTAAACTGTAGTTCTGTCTGTAGGAAAACAACTTATTAATGATGACATCATCATTAAACTGTAGTTCTGTCTGTAGGAAAACAACATATTAATGATGACATCATTATTAGTTCTGTCTGCTGTAAAAAAAACAACAGAATGATGACATCGTCTTGAAACTGTTGTCTTCCTGCCTGCAGGAAACCCTCACAGCCATCACCCCAGCAGCAGGCTGACACACGACACGGTGGAGCGAGTCAGAGACAGGTGAGACCTGCTGACAGCCTGAGACTCTGCAGCGGGTCGGCCCGGCGCCGCCTCGCTCCGGTAAACCCGTTCCAACTTTCTTACAGGGTGTTGCAGCACTTTAACACCACCTCTGAGGAACACTCCGTGATCTTCACCTCTGGCGCCACGGCCGCCCTCAAGCTGGTGGCTGAGAGCTTCCCGTGGCGCCGGCAGACGCAGCGCGAGGCGGGGAGCTGCTTCAGCTTCCTGACCGACAGCCACACCTCCGTGGTGGGCATGAGGGGGCTCGCCTCGGGCCTAGGGGCGACCGTTCTCCCCGTCACCCCAGAGCAGCTGAGGAGCGGCGAGGGGGCGGAGCTTCAGGGCGACGCTTGCCAAACGCCACATCTTTTCTGCTTCCCGGCGCAGAGCAACTTCTCAGGCAGGAAGTACCCTCTGAGCCTGGTGCGGGACATCCAGGCCAGGAGACTCCGCCCCGCCTCGGACCTGCGGGGCCGCTGGTTCGTGCTGCTGGACGCCGCCTCCTACGTGGGCTGCTCGCCCCTCAACCTGCAGAGCTGCCCTGCCGACTTCGTCTGCGTCTCTTTCTACAAGATGTTCGGTTTCCCCACCGGTCTGGGCGCTCTGCTGGTCCGGCGCCGCGCCGCCGGGATGCTCAGGAAGGCCTACTTCGGAGGCGGCACAGCAGCAGCTTACCTGYCTGCAGAGGATTATTATGTGCCGACAGCAGCCGTCTCTGACAGGTAATGTGTTGTAGGAGTCCAGCAGACACGTCTCCTCACTCTGAAGGGGTTGTGTTTTATTTCCTGTCAGGTTTGAAGACGGAACCGTCTCTTTCCTGGACATAATCGCTTTAAATCACGGGTTTGAGTCTCTGCTCAGGATCACAGGTACGKCCCACTCCTTCCTAATGAGAGCTGCTTTCTGAGTAATAGCACAAGCTTTATTGTCTTTATCCATCTGTGCCTGCAGGGAGCATGCACAACATCCAGCAGCACACGTTCGGCTTGGCTCGTTACACTTACATGCTGCTCTCCAGCCTTCGCCATGGCAACGGGCGCCCGGCGGCTCAGATTTACACCGAAGGCYGGTTTGAGAGTCCGGGCGCTCAGGGAGCAATCCTGAACTTCAGCCTGCTGGATTCTGCTGGGCAGATAATTGGATATTCACAGGTGAATTTTAATGGCGTTCTAAGTCATAACAGCTTAATTTCGGCTGGTTTATGCACGAGACGTTCCACTTCATCCACGCTCCGCCGCCCTCAGGTGGACAGGATGGCTGCTCTCTACAACATTCATGTCCGGACCGGTTGTTTCTGCAACACCGGCGCCTGCCAGCGCTTCCTCGGAATCACCGACCAGCAGCTGAAGAGGAATCTGCAGGTGAGGCGAAAATATTACAGACCTGACAAGTTAGGTTTTCTGTCACACGCTGAGGGGCCGAATGACAGCCGAAACCTGCAGAAGCAGCTGAAACTGAGTTAAAGCAGAAAAAAGTAGCAAAAGGCTCGATAAAAGTAGCAAAAGGCTAGATAAAAGTAGCAAAGTAGCAAAAGGCTAGATAAAAGTAGCAAAGTAGCAAAAGGCTAGATAAAAGTAGCAAAAGGCTAGATAAAAGTAGCAAAGTAGCAAAAGGCTAGATAAAAGTAGCAAAGTAGCAAAAGGCTAGCTAAAAGTAACAAAAGGCTAGATAAAAGTAGCAAAGTAACAAAAGGCTAGATAAAAGTAGCAAAAGGCTAGATAAAAGTAGCAAAGTAGCAAAAGGCTAGATAAAGTAGCAAAAGGCTAGATAAAAGTAGCAAAGTAGCAAAATGCTAGCTAAAGTAGCAAAAGGCTAGATAAAAGTAGCAAAAGTCTAGATAAAAGTAGCAAAAAGCTAGATAAAAGTAGCAAAGTAGCAAAAGGCTAGATAAAAGTAGCAAATTAGCAAAATGCTAGCTAAAGTAGCAAAAGGCTAGATAAAAGTAGCAAAATTCTAGATAAAAGTAGCAAAAAGCTAGATAAAAGTAGCAAAGTAGCAAAAGGCTAGATAAAAGAGGCAAAGTAGCAAAAGGCTAGATAAAAGTAGCAAAAGGCTAGATAAAAGTAGCAAAAGGCTAGATAAACGTAGCAAAAGGCTAGCTAAAAGTGACAAAAGTGTCACTAGAAGGTAAATGTAGCAAAAGGGTAGTTGAGAGCTAAAAGTAATGAGATGCTAACTAATTGCAAAAAGTAGCATCCAACTAGATAAAATATGAAAGTAGCAAAAATCTATAAATACACTAGCTAAAATTAGCAGAATGTTAGCTAAAAACCAAAAGCAGCAAAAGGCTAAAAGCAAGAGGTTAATAGAGGCTAGCTAGAAATAGCAAAAGACTCACTAGAAGGTAAACGTAGCAAAAAGGCAGTTAAGAGCTAAAAGTAATGAATTGCTAATAGCTAAAAATAGCCATAAACTAGCTTAAAAATCTAAGCTGAAAGCAACATAGTGTTAGTTACATGCTAAACATCCAAAAAGACTACAAAAATGTTTCCAAAGGTAAGCTGGAAGGTAAAGGTAGCTAAATGTTAGCCAAAAGTACCAGAATGGTAGCTGAAGTGATAAAATGCTAACTGTCTGAATAGCAAAAAGCTAGCTAGAAGCTAAAATTGACAAAATGCTAGCTAAAAGCTAAAACTAGCAATAGACAAGCTAATCTATAAAAGTAATGTAACTCCAAATAAACAATAGCTAGAAATATAAAAGTGGTGTTAAATGCTAAAAGTCTGAAAAAGCTACAAGTATCAAAAGGCTTTCTAGAAGATAAAAGTGGCTAAAACGACTAAAATAACTAATAGCTAAAGGTATCAAAAGACAAGCTAAAAGATGAAAAGGAGCAGAATTCTAAGAACAAAAAGTATTAAATTGCTGATTAAAGGCTTATAGAACCAAAAGATGAAACATTAAAAAGCAGCTAGAAGCTAAAGGTACAAGAACAACAGCTGAAGCTAGAAGCAGCTATGAAGACAGAAACAGGTCCAGCTGCTGAAGCTGATTTTTAAAAAGAAGTGGAACTGGTTCTGTTTGGTTCTGTTTGGCTCTTGAAGGCGGGTCATGTCTGCGGGGACAGCGTGGACCTGGTGGACGGCCGGCCGACCGGATCCATCCGAGTCTCCTTCGGCTACATGTCCACATTCGAGGACTGTCAGAACTTCCTGAACTTTGTCGTGGAGTGCTTCGTGGAGAAACCAGTCAGAGTGGACCGGGCCAGGCTCCAGGAGCTCCGGGCGCGTCGAGCAGAAGAGGAAACTCTCACCGGTGAGAACCGCAGAACACCTGAGACGAAATCCACCGAAGAACCACGGGAAGAATCGGAACGAGAGGAGCTAAAAGTCCTCGGAGCCGCTCACACTCTGACCAACATCTTCATCTACCCCGTCAAATCCTGCGCTGCGCTCGAGGTTTGAAAACGAGCCGACCGTTTCCCTCCACCCTGTTCGGTCCTGATGGGACTCTGTGCTCTGGTCCAGGTCCAGGAGTGGCCCGTGGGCCCGCTGGGCCTGCTGTACGACAGGGTCTGGATGGTGGTGAACGGGAACGGCGTGTGTCTGAGTCAGAAGAGGGAGGCCCGCTTGTGCCWGATCCACCCTGAGGTCCACCTGGACTCCAACAAACTGGTCCTCCGGGCCTCGGGTCAGGAAGTCTCCAGGAGATTAACAGGAGTCTGGTTTCTCCTCTGAGTGTGTGAAAAGTTGTGTTTGTCGGTCCTGCAGGGATGGATCCGGTCTCCGTTCCTCTGGGATGTGACGTTCAGGYGTCTCAGATGTGTCGGAGGAAGGTTTGTGGCGACAGGTGAGCRTCTGAAAACATAGATCCTCCGTTTTTCGCAGCTTTTTCTCGACAACAAACAGTTTGACGTAAGTAAGACGTCCTGAATAMAGCGTCCCGTGTCCCCTCAGGGTGGACACGTTGGACTGTGGAGACGAAGCTGCGTCGTGGCTCTCGGAGTTCCTCGGTCAGACGTGCCGCCTGATCAGACAGAGTCCTGATTCCAGCCGAGGACTGAGGAAGACTCCTGATGGAGGTGTCTGACTAACAAACACTAACTGAGCTCTACCTGGTATTTCCTGCATAGAAAAAGTGTTTTAACTCGTCCTTTTATAAACACTGAAATGTACTACAAGTACGACTGASTAAATGTGACATAAAACAGAAATACTATTAAAATAAAAGAAAGGAAGTTTTACTCATGGATGAGTCGTGTGAGCAGCTGAACTCTCCCACTTTCCAACAGGGAATTCCCACTGGAGGGGTGTTCCAGTTTACATTTACAGCTTGTAAGTGGGAAATTCCCACTTCTCAGTACAACTGAGCTGCAGCAAAAGTAGCCATAGAAAATGTGGCGAAGCGGAGATTTTACTTGACAAATATCACCAGCAACTGTTAAACACTGTACAGCTCCACCTGGTGGTGACATGTCGTCATTTCACAGGTAAAATAATCAACGTGCATTATGGGAGATGTAGTTTATGATCAATGTGGGCTTTAAAGCTATGGAGAGCAGTTTTATTCAAAATGAAATAAATGAATAATGTTATTACTAAAGTATTAATAAATATTCCATCAAGTAAATATGTCCTTGATTAGAAGAACAATTATTTTGAACACCATAAGTATCTCTGCAAAACCTTTATAATCACAGAGTGACAGTCATTCAACTCGTTTATGGATATATGTCTGTGTTTTATTTATAAAAATGAACGTTTAATTATGAAGAAATGCCAGGCAGGCGAGTATCCCGCCTCTGGTGGTGAAACATCATTTCCTGAATACCGAACCACAGAGAAAACCCCGCCCCCTCATTTGCATATTGGACCATGAAATAGTAAAACGGCATTAAGTAAAAGGGGAGTTCAAAATAAAATTCCCTGAAATATGTAAAGTAGCTTTACAAAATAAATGTGTCTCAAAATAAAACTACGATATGTAATAAATAAGTAAATAAATAAATATGCAAATTTAAATATAAATACATAAATAATTTAAAGACATGCTAAAAATATATTTTAATTTTATTGATTTTGTTTTATTTCACAGGTACATGTATTTATT